AATATGATAATTTAATTTTTATTTTATTCATTATATTTCACAATCTTGTTTTATTCCTTCTTATTATTTTAAGAAAAAATTTTTTCAAATTTTTTTTTTAAATTTTGATAATATAATATAATTAGCAATTATATAATACAAGATGTTTTTAAAACATCAAATAAGGAGTTTTAATTAAATTTTTTATAAATAATTGTATTACTATCAATATCAAAAAATAATACGTATAATTAAAAACAATTAAATAATTTTGCCTTTTTGTTTTATTTCTTCAAAAATTAATAATAAATTGTATGATGAAAATATTTTAATTGGAATTAAATTCAAATATACTTATATGCATATTCATGTTTTGTTACAGAAATTGCAAAAGTACGAGCAAGTCTTTTTCAGATCAGTGGCGTCAAAAAAGAGCCACTGGTCTTGCCAGAACCAGAGGGTGAAATCACAACACTTATGGAAAAAGTTTATGTACCTGTCAAAGAACATCCAGATGTAAGTCTTTATTTTCTGTTGCTATATATTAAGGAAAATTCAATTTTTAAGAAAATCTTGAAATATCATATATAATTAACATGTATAATGAGTGTATTATAATTAGTTTTTTCTTTTTTTATAAATAAACATCAAGAGTGCGTATAAAAATCAATTTAAATGTTTATTCAATTCAATACAAATTCAAAAAAATATTTAGTTTATTTGTTAACTAAAATATTTCTATGTTTTTATTTATTACCAATTATTATTATTATTAATTGTATAATTAATATATAATAAATCTGTAAAAAAAAAATATAATTTTAAGTGTTAAAAAAGAAGATAACAGAAAAATAACAGAAGAGTAACAAGTAAAAGTTTTTGTAATAAGTTTAATATTAAATTAACGTTAAATATATATACTATTAATTAAAATTTCTATTATGAGATGAATAATCTCGTACAACAAAGATAAAAGACTAGATATTAATAATTATTATTAAACTAAAGCAATTATTTATTCATTAAAAAATATTTGATATCATTATTTGAATATGAAATTTTTAATTTGATGTCTTATCAAATACCGAGTTTATAAATTACATAATCCAAAGGATAATATACATAATAATATACATACGTTGAATTTATTTATTTATATAAAGTTATAAAACAACAAAACTTTTTATATAATTTTATTTAATTAGAAATATAAAAAACATTTATAATAATAATAATAAAAATTTATTTTTAATCATATACATATATTTTTTTTTCAAAATGCTTATAATTTTGCTTGTTACAGTTTAATTTTGTTGGAAGAATCCTTGGACCACGAGGAATGACAGCCAAACAATTGGAGCAAGAAACAGGATGTAAAATTATGGTTCGAGGGAAAGGATCTATGAGGGATAAAAAGAAGGTAAAATTTTTTATTGTATATCCATATCTTATTAATTTATATAAATGTATCTTTACGCTTCTTTACAATATATATATACAATATATATACATACAATACAATATAGATATAGTTAAGTTTTTAAAAAAAAATACATAGTGTTATTATTGCAATTTTAAATTAAATATTATTTCCAAGCTGCATATGATCAATGAGAAAAAATTTTATCGTAAGTATATGTAATAATAAAATAATAAAATAATAATAAGAATATAAAATTTATTTTTTATTTTTATATATTTAACAACATCTTAAATTGATTATGAGCAAATTATATACAGAATAATTAAAAAAAGAGTTTATAATTTTTAAATAATATTCATCAAATAAAAAAAAGATAATATAGTTAAAAATTAATATTTTTTAAAGTTATAAACAATTTTTTAATTCTTGAATTAATATGTTGTGTAAAAACAATGAATTATTTTATATTTTTTTATTTTTTTTAATTAAGAGAAAATTCTTTCTTTACACATTCTTTTTTCATTTCACTTTTTCTATAATTTTTTAATTGAATGATAATATATCGTTTTTGTCGCATGAAAAATTTTGTATTAACTTTTTAATTATTTACTAATCATAAAAAAATTTTTAATTAACATTTCTTTTATGATGTTTTATAGTAAAATAATTCTATATTATGATGTGTACAAAATAGAAAAATAGATAATCCATTATTTACATGTAGTATGATAGCTTTTGAAACAATTAAACTGTTGATTAATTCACTTTGATAAAAATTGTTTATAATTTTGAAAATATTAATTTTTCAATCCATTTTTATTAAGACTCTTTTAATTTATTTTATTTATTAAATAACAACTAATATTATATTAATATTAATATAATTATATATAATTACTATATATAATTATTATATAATCTAAAAGTTATGAATGCTTCTTTGATCATCCTATATTAATACATACATATATATATATATATATATATATATAATTTTTGTA